CCTCCTAGGGGCAGCCAGGATTCCTTGTGCCAAGAATTGCCTGCCTTAACGTCTTGGGAGGGGACCTGCAGTGGCGACTGCCCAGTACCCACAGGCGAGCACCCTCTCCCACCCCATCTCAGACTGGAAGGGATGGCACACTCAAACATGCCGGTAAACTCCAGATTTTCCCCTCCCCCTGCACCCCTCTGTCAGTTCACTTTAGCTTTAGGCACCTTGATGAATGACACACAGGGAGAGACAGACCCCAGGAAACAGAAGAAGACATCCAGATTCCACAGAGAATTCCATAGACACAGAGAGAGCACCAGAGCTGGGGTCATGGTGTTGCTATCTGCTTGGAACCCTCTGGAAGTCACTCACCACCTCCCAGCACTTGGGGTAGTGTGCTGGGCCTAAAGGGGCGATGCATGGACCTGTGCTTGCCATGTCTCTCCACAGAGAAGAAGGTGGAATCTGCTTGCTCCGTTTTTTGCCAAAATTTGACCAGGGGGTAGGAAGGGTCAGAAATGAAGATGAGCACCTCCCACCTCCCCTGCTCATGATCCTGGTGACCTCCAAGACTGGCCTGCAGCTGGATCTCAAGAACCCACCTCCTCGGGGTTCATGATCTAGAGGCTAGAAGGAACCTCCCCAAAACCCAGTCCTTTCTACTGCCTCCCAGGGAGGTGGCCACTCCCCCCCCCCCCCTTGAGAATGCAAGAGACATTTCTAGTGAAATGCCTCTCCCCCTCCCCCAGGTAAAGGCTACCTCACTCAAACGTTCATGTCTGTGATTGAAAAAAATCACACCTGATACCAAAGATTTCCCCCCAAGGACTTGTGCTGGTTGCTAGAATTCCCTCGAGTTTGCCTCTGACAGTATGCTCAAGGGCCTGCCCTGGGCCCTGCCCTCTAGGTACCGCCACCCCCACCAGAGAGAGAAAGAGAGAGAGGGAGAGAGGATAGTGAGGTCGATGAGTGCCTTTTTCTTGAACCAAAGATGTGTGTGAAATGTTCTCTTGTCCTTATCGACTCGCTATTGTCCAGGCTTTTTAAGCAACTGGATCTGAGTGATGTTTCTAAAACCTTTGGGTGTTGGGGCGCTATCCCATTCTGGTTCAGCAACCAACTCCTTCCCCCAAACACAGGTGGACACAGCCCCTCTTACCCACACCCACCTCCACACCCCACACCCACTAACACCTGGGCTCCACTGGCCAGAGCACCTGGTTGCAGGGCACACAGCTTCTTGAACACCCTCTGCTGGGAGACTAGGAACCTCCTGTTTTGTCCCCTGCTGGAAATTTAGAAATTGTCTCGGGATCTTTCTGGTTGTAGAACATTCTACTTATGGTGAACTGTGATCAGATCAGGTCAAGCCCCATTGACACAGGTCACAGAAGCGTTTTCCCATTCCTGGTTCCCTTTCTAAAACCTTCATATCACACACGTGTGCACATGCACACACACACCAGCTCCTATAACCCCTTTCCTGGTTGGCCAGTCCCCCTCCAGCAGGCCTGCACCCCATTCTATCCCTGAGCCCCGTTGGGTCCCACCCTTCCTGTCGCCAACACCCAAACCAAAGACCATTCTCCACGCAGGGAACAACACCTCCAGCACAGCTCCTTCGAGCCTTTGACAATTTTCTCTGAAATACCTCAAAATATTTAATGTATAGTTTATGTGATTAAAAAAATCCTTAGCTAGTTTTTGGAATACGTGACTTGAAGCTTTATACCGTTAAATTATAATTTTGCAGACGATGGTATGTCATTTTTTTGACGAGTTCTGTGGGAGACATATTGAATGTTGGGGCAGCGAAAGCTGGGTGGTCAGAGGAGAAAGACAGAGGGAGCGAGAGAGAGACTGAGCTCAAAGGACCGAAGGACCAGGCGTTTACAGATTTCTTATTTAAACAAGTCCTTTAGGAGAGAGGATGAGAGAGAGAGAGAGAGAGAGAGAGAGAGAGAGATACTTTTGTGTTCTCTGGTGTGTTCTGTTTCTTGTTTTTGGAGTCATGTCTTACAAGAGTATTTATTATTCTATGTGGTCTGTGTTCAAATGTAATTTAAGAAAAAAAAGGAAGAAAATGGAAAAAAGACACAATGGAATTTGATTTGATGCATGACTAATGTACTCTTCTTGACAATGTACTAAGTGGATGGGGTGGGGGGTGGGGACGGGGTGCGGGGCCGGAACCCCGGAATCCATGTGCATCCTTGTGTTTTGTGCCTGAGCTGTGCTGTTTGGGCCCCTTTGCACTGCTCTCTGTTCATTTTCCCCTTTCCAGCTGGCAGGAGGTGGGGAGGAAAGAAGAAGGCAGACAGCAGACCAGGACTTAAGCACCCAGACCAGGTTCCCGCCTCCCAGGGCCCACATGCCACCTGCCTTGCCTGCTGAGTCTCCTGTTCCTGGTTCTTGGGCACAGGTGGCTGTCACTGCCATCTTGGACATCCATTGGTTTCACATTAGCATGAGTTCCCAAGTGTCTTGTTCAGAGGAGAGAGACAATCAATTAGAGTCTTGTCGCCCACGGCGGTGTGAGGCTGGGGTGTATCCCAACTTCCTGAGATCCTAAGAACCTTCCTGAGACACCCCTTCCCTGAAAGGACCCAAGACAGGCACCCAGCCAAGCTCCACCCAGACACCCCTTACCTCCTGGCTCTGGGCTGGGCCTACGTACACCTTTCTGTCTGCCCTGGGAGGTGGGCAGATGCATTTCTGTGGAGCCCTCTTTCCAGCCCATGTTGGGACCCTACACAACAGAGGAGCCTCCCAAAATCATGAAAGGGGACTCTGGGAGAGTCTCCATGCCAGTAATTGCACTGCTGGCCTGAGGCCCCACACTTCCATCAGGAGAGCCCACATTCCAGGACAGGCCCCGGGAAGGGGGCCCCCTCACACTCTGAAGGATAGAAAGGCTCAGTTTGGAGGATCAACCCACCCAAAATGAGGGCAGAGGTGGCACACGCTGTAGGGCCATTGCCACCAGCCCCTACATTAGCTGGAATTTGGGCCATTTCACATTCTCTGCCCAAAGCAGTGTAAGCCACACCAGCCCATCAGATCCTTGGGCTCCTCCTTGCGGGCCCAGCAGACCACCACCCTCACCATCCCAAAGGCTGGTTTTTGGGTGGATTCCCTCAGCCAGGGGTGAGGGAGAGCCCTGAGTGTTTAATCAAGACTGGACACCAGGGCTGTTTTCAGGGGAGACACTCTGGGGTCATCCGAAGTCCCTCCCAATGCTAGAGGGAACAGAAGCCCTCCTCATCCCACCCTCAGGCGACAGGCTTAAAAGTTAAAAAACAGAATCATCATCATTGTTGTTAACCATTGCTGTGCTGGATTTGTTGTTTTGTTTTTCTCCAATAAATTATTTTCTAGTCACTCACCTGGGCATGTGTGTTGGTGGACAGTGGTGGTGGGGATACAGGAGGGAGGAATGGGGCTCACCCACCATGAAAATGGGGAGGGACGGAGGGGACAAGAGAGGAGGAAGTCTGCTTCCCCTAGCCCAGTCCTCCCAGCTCCAAACCTACTTTGGCCACAGCCAGCCCTGAGCCTCCACTCCCACAGGGCTCCACCTTCCATGGAAACCATTAAGAATCAGAGAAAAGCTCAAGACCTTTGAGCCAACCAAGACTGATGACAAAAGATCTTTGTTGGGACTTGCGTCTGAGGCATCACTGCCCATGTCTTTCTGGAGCCTGAAGTTTAAGGTGGTTTATTTGAGGGGGGGGGGGGGCAGGGCAGCCCTGTGGGGAAATAGGCTGGGTTTGTGCCAGAGTTGGACCTTATCAACTGCCCTGGGAGGGGCCAGCCAGAGAGCCAGGACTGGTAAGCAGAATCTGCTGAGCACATTTCTCCCTTCTGAGAACAATAAAGTTTTATCCACATTATCTACACCAGAGTGAAGAAGGAAAAATAACAAATTTAACAAGCTTTTCCTGCAAATCCCCCATCTGGCCACTAGAGGTGAGTGTTTTGATTTTTTTAAACCAGGAAAGACTTTCAGGATGCATCACAGAAAGAAGCATAGGGAAAGACTGAGTGCAAGGACCCTGAGGTCTGATGGACCCTGGTTCATTAGAAAAAGAAAAGGATGGCCCTGGCCAGTTTGGCTCAGCGGTTAGAGCGTCGGCCTGCGGTCCGGAGAGACCCAGGTTCGGTTCCCTCTAAGGGCACGTACCTCGGTTGCAGTTTGTCCTCGGCCCTGGTTGGTCGTGCAGGTGGCAGCCACTCGATGTGCCTCTTTCACGTCGATGTTTCTTTCTCTCTCTCTCTTCCTCTCTCTCTCTCCCACTCTACCTGAACAAAAAATGGAAAAATGTCCTTGGTTGAGGATATATATATAAAAAAAATAATCTGGGTTTCTACACACCAGCAACAAGACATCCCAAAAGGGAATTAAGAAAACAATTCCAATAATAAATAATAAAATGTCTAGAAAGAAAGAAGTAAAACAAACAGTATATCCTTATCAAAGGTGCCTCCGTAAAGCTCCCTCTCGGACGCCTGGGTATCAATGACATGGAGCTTATTTCCTATCACAGTCGTCTATTTTCAGACAATATCTTTACACACAGGGGAAATTTCACTCTATGACTCTTCTAAGGCTCCAGAAGGCACATCTATTCTTTACCATGATACTGTTGAGAATCTTAAACTCAGGGATCCAGCCCCCACAGCTTATCTTCTCTGGGGTTCAAGCTTTCCCTCTCTCCCCTAGAAAGATCTACCTTTGAAGTATCTGCACTTCCCTGGCTGGCTTCAAAACGCAAATCTGCCAAATATCCCTGAAAATGTTGGGCACAGAACTGGACGGGAACTATATCCTCCCTTTATCTGGACTTTATACCTCTATGAATGCAGCCATAGAAAAGGTTGCATTGCCCTGAGGTCTCAGGCAAACCCTTGCCCCATGAAGACCTCAAAACACGAGAGTGCCCACTGCCCTCCTGGAGGCCATGATAAGGGGACAGCACCCCCAGGAAACCCCCAAAGCGCTATCCTCTTCAGTGCACCTGGGCAGTGAAGCCACTGCAGAAAACGAACCAGATGTGAACCATTATATCGGCCATGTTGTAGATGAAGTAGCATAGGAACTTGAAGACTCGCACGTAGGACCAACGCCCATGCACAAGCAGCAGCCGCCTCAGGAAACAGAACTGGGCCAGCATGTAGTCGCTGTTCTGCACCACCTGCATGCCCTCTTGGCCTGCCAGCCTTACGCCGAAGTCTGCAGCTGCAAGGCACATGCAGCTTGTTAGCCCTGGGCCACCCCCAGCCCACCACAGGCCTCCCCCAGGCCTGGTGCCCATTACCCACTCTTTTTTTTTTTTTTCATAGCACGTGGACTCTATTGAGACGCTCAGTGGAAAACATCTGTAAACCAGCTTCGTATAGTGGTGACAGCTGCAGCGCATGCTAAGGCATCTTATTCTACAAAAGGGCGGGTGCCAGTCCATTCACTCCTTTGTGACAGCAACTGGGACCTGAATTCAGAGCTGTGTAGGCATATGAAGCTTTTACACAGCTTCATGATTTGATGAGTTTGTTTCCTTTAAGAAAAATGCTTTCTTTGCCGTAGTGAGTCTAAACGCAGCATATACAACAGTTAGGAATACAGGTAAATTCAGCAACCAGTGTAGACCAGTGTAAGACACGCTACTTTCTTCTAAACATGGTTCCAAAGGAAAGGCAATGAGAAAGACTGGGACTCTTACCATTTATTGGGGGGGGGGCACTTTCTAGTTCTCCCCTTTCAAAAACATCTGTGCAGGCACCACCCACTCTTGGTCATGTTGACATCATTAGTGCCATCCCCAGTGGCCAGGGTCACCACATTCTGATATTTCTTGACCAGCGCCACAGTCAAGGCCTCCTGCTTGGGTGTCGCCCGGCAGCAGAAGAGCGCTTGGCATCTCAAGGCTGGTGCCACAAAGGCCCACTTGGGCCGCACCTCAGGGCTCTCCTCCGTTTTGGAGTCCTTGTCCTGTAGCACCAGCCCTGGGCTCCTCAGCCGGATCCCAAGCGTCTACCACACCAGAGAGATGTGCCCGGCCTGCAGGAAGTCTCTCCTCTGCTCACCTGGCCACCTTCACGTTTTGGACCAGCGCTCGGGGTTCCTTGCTCTGGGACAGCAGCATCTGGTCCTGGCCAGCAAGTTGGCGGGGAGATGCCTCACTCTTCTTGTACCCCTCCTCTTTGTGAACACCCCCAACTGGCTGCTCCTCTTGCCTCCCTCCCCAACCCCAGGTTGGACTTGACACAATGGCTCCTGTCCCTCTGAGAATCATCTCTTGGCATAGCATTCGCTTTGGCTTTTCTAACAGTCCACCCTCACCCCCAGTCTGCCGCTCCTCCCGGCCCCCTCCCACATGCAGAGGCCCCACAGTCAGCCCTGAGTGGACACTGACCGGGAACTCTCTGTTAATGACCATGGCCATTTTGACTTGTGCAGGAACCGGCTCTTCAGAGACCCCTTGCCTCTCACCAGGTTGTTGTGCTCTCCCAGTAGTCCTCCAGGATCCGACTGCAGGGACCCCGCTGGGGCTCAGCCACGCCTGGGCACAGGCTCCCTTCCATCCCTTCCCCAACTGTGCCTCAGTTTCCCCCTTGGGAGTCCAGCCAGGTAGAGGTTGAGGACATTCTGCCGACCTCCAGGGCCACACCTGAGTCATGGGTGTCTCCCATCCGCCACCCTTAGCCTGTTCCAACCGCTCATGTTCCCCTACCCCACTCCTTACACCATTCCCTTCTCCGGAATGAGCATGTTCTCGGACAGCAGCTGGCAGGCAAAGCCGATATTCACTGCTGTCTCTGCTAACCAGCCCAGCTTAGCCCCTGGGCAGCCCCTGCCTGGGGCATCACCACCCTGCCCCAATCCCCTGGACAGGCTGATGGTGGCCCCTGGAGCACATATGAGTTCTCTGCCACCCATCTTGCTTCTCTCCCTGCTGGGGATGGCCGCCCTGGGCCCTACCTTGCTTGTTTCCTGTGAGTACCCACTCTCTGATGTTTCCTTGCTTGAGACACTGGATGGTTTCAAGGATCCCATCCTGGAGCCTGGAGCCTGGAGCCTGTCTTCAAAGGCTGTGGCTGCCAGCAGCTGAGGGTGGGGATGAGGGGACAGGGGACACACTGAGCAGGGACCCAGCTACCCTAGCAGGGATGGGAGATCCAGGGCCCAGAGGGCTGAAACCAGGGGCTGGAGCCCCGCGCCTCCTGTGCCCTGCACATCTGGAGGCTCTGCTCCTCCTCCTTATACACTTGGTACAGGGCACGGGCCCAGTTCTGAAGAAGAATGCTGGCCTCCTGGTGCCGCTGTCACCACTCCTCATATGTGTCCTTGTCCACCTTTTTGTAGGATAGCCACAAGGTGCAAAGGGTCTGCTCCGCAAAGGACTGGGGGCCCACTGGGAGGGCAGGCGTCACCGTCACCACCCTGCCTCCCGGGCCACTTCTCCAGCTACTTCCTCTCTCAGCACTTCTCCCTTTGCCTGGACTCCCTAAACTTTGACCCCCACCCACAGTCTGTTTTTACCAGAGGGGACGGGGATCATGTACTGCCATGTTCCTTGTTAGCTGTTTCAGCCCTCAAGAGGTCCGGTTCTGTTCTGCCTCCTGCGCTCCCTATGCTCTGCGTGGCAGTTTCTAACTATCCCTGAAGACCCTCAGTGCAGCTTGCCAGACCCCTCCGCAGCCCTGGAACCCTGCCTCTGACCCCCGGCCTGAGGGATGTCTGTATTCCAGACTCTGCCTCATTTTTCAAGGGGCTCTTGATAAATGCCCCTCCCCACCACCTGGAGGACCCACAGTTCCAGGGATGCCCCAGGGGCTGGTTGACCCCAAAGATGGTATCTATTGGCTTCTTACTTCCCTCCTACTTCCCCATCCCCCAGGCTTTCTGCCCCCCGGCAGATGGTTCCAGGTCTTGACTGGAGGTGGGCCTCAGAGGTTGGGTTTGGACATGACAGGAGCTCCCTGGTCATCAGAAACTTCAAACAGGACTTTGTTCTTGTGACTCAGTTTACCTATCTGTTCCACAGGACAGTTGAGCCATCTTGCCGAGCTCCTGAGCTCTGGGACGTTGTTCTGACAACACTTCCCCAGTTCTTAGTCAGAGATCAGCCGCCTGCCCTGGACTCCCCACCCTGGCAGAACGGGGCGCTCTGAGGAGTCCTGAGTGAAGGTTCAGGGCATTCTTTGCATAAACATCCCCCCTGGGCCCTGAGCTGGGTGAAGCTGGGGACTCAGCAAAGCCCTTGGGGAACCCCAAAGTGTCAGGGCTGAGCCAGAGAGGGGTAATTTGGCATGACATGTCAGCCCCATGTTAGGGTCAGGCAGGAAAGTTTCCCTGGATGTGGGGACCTGGAGGTGGCAGAGCCCTGAGAACCAAAAGATCCTGAATGAACTAGAGGAAGGTATCCAAGCAGAGGGAACAGTGTGTGCAAAGTTCCTGGGGCATCACCTAAAATGAGAAAAACTGCAAACCAGAAACTAGAGTTCTGGGAAACACCCTGGGGGTCAAAAAGAGTCAATCTAGAAAGGCCAGCAGGAGACACAAAGACACAGCCTGCTTTGTCTTGGCTTGGCTGAGGAGTTTGGGCTTCATCCATGGAGACAAAAGATTTGGGGCAGAGAGGCTGAGTGTATCCCAGAACCCAGGCCTGGCTGGGAGCGGGGATCAGCATCCAGGGCCAAAGCCTAACCACAGAGGGTCTTTGTGTGACTTACAAAAAAATGCCCACTCTAGCCCAGCCAGTGTGGCTCAGTGGTTGAGCATCAACCCGTACACCAAGAGGTCGCTGGTTTGATTCCTGGTCAGAGCACATGCCCAGGTTGTGGGCCTGATCCCCAGTGGGGGCATGCAGGAGGAGGCCAATCGATGTTCTCTCTCATCAATGTTTCTATCTCTCTCTCTTTCTCCCTTCTTCTCTTTCTAAAAATCAATAAAGAAAAAAACAATTTTTTTAAAAATGCTCACTCTGTGCAGTTGTAACTTAGAGTTCAGCTCCTCCCTTCCCATGTGTGTGGGAGAAGGGCACAGAAAAGCCAACTGTACATGACCACGCTACATACCTGAGGCCATTTCTCTGCACATCCTCCTCCTCCGCCTCCCTCCTTCTACCCCTCTACCCTCCCTCCCTTCCCACAGGGACTCACGGTTAAGGCCTCTTCTGTAGTCCCCCTCTGTCAAGACTTTCTTATATAAGCGATCAAAGATGACAGGTGTGGTCCAGCTGGTGTGGCTCAGTGGTTGAGCATCGACCCGTGCACCAAGAGGTTGTTGGTTTGATTCCCAGTCAGGACACATGCCCAGGTTGTGGGCTTGATCCCCAGTGGGGGGCATGCAGGAAGCGGTCAATAGATGTTTCTATCTCTCTCCCTCTCCTTTCCTTTCTCTCTAAAATCAATAAAAGGAAAAAAAGTTTTAAAAAAAGAAAGAAAAAAAGATGACGGTGTCTGTGCCTTTGGTGTAGAAGTAGATGGAGCCCTCGAGGTTTCGGACTGTGGAGGGAGACGCCTGGCTGCCAATAGTGCTCTTGTTCCTTCCCACCTCCATCCCCAGGCTGAGGGTGCTCACCTGGCACCGACATCCACTTTCGGATGCTGTTGAAATCCATCGTGGCCAGGAGCTGGTAGACCCACTCCTCCCCCGCTCCATCACCATGACGCTGTCCTGTGTGCGCACCAGGAACACAGAGCCGAAATTCTAGGCAGCGCCTCCTTATCAGGGGAAGCTTCCTGGTACAACAGATGATCTGGTGGGGGAGAGGACCATGGGAGTGGAATGGGGGGCACATTTGCTGAGAGCAAGCTGTCTTTTGGGGACCCACCGCCCATCTGCGGCAGGTCCCACTTTCATTTCTGCAGCCCAGGGGAGGAAATGGAAACAATGGGTACTCACCAGATATTGACAAGACGATGGTCTCTTGGGCCAGTATAACCTCTAAGCTGAATAAAAGAAGGTGGGCACTTGGGTCCCAAGCCAGATGACCATCCCTTCCCAACTCGGTAACAGATCTCAAGCCCCAGGCTTGGACAACCTCTAGGTCCAGAAGAGGTGGAGCTTGGGACTGGGCCTGCGCACCCTCTAAGAGGGATGACAGGAGCCCTGGGGGCTGGGCTGGACAAGCTCTAAGGCCAGAAGACTGCCTCGGGAGCCCCAGGGTCTGAGCACCTCGCAGGCTGGGCAGCCCTCGATGCACTCAGTCTTTCTCCTGCACTGTCGCCCTGCGGCAGATGGCCAGCAGGTGCCAGAGCTCCCACCAGTCTGTCTTTGTTGTCGCACACGGCACTCAGGAGCCTCGCATTTTGGAAGAGCGGCTTCCTATCAGCAAATTTGTTCCAGAAGTAGGGGTTCTCCTGGGAGGGGACAAGCCAGCTCTGGGTGGGTCACTGCCTACTCCCCCACATCCAGTGCTGCAGGACCAGCACTCACCTTTGATAGGGTCTCCTCCTCAATGGGCCTGGAGAGAGACCCTGCTTCAGGCCTCAACACTCTGGATGGCTCGGGGTCCCCCAGCCCCCATCTCCAATGCCAGTCTTTCTAAGGTCTGAACTCTGAACCAGACACCCCAAACAACAAAGGACCCTCAGCTTCAGTTTGACCTTCTGCACAAAGGAGGAAAAGATAGGGCCCTGTCTCCTGGGGGAATCTTAAAAGGGCCACCCTGGGTGGGATGTGGCCCCATTGAACACAACTTGTTTGAACTATCCATGTGATTTTTAAAATCTGGCTGCCTGCCCTGGCCGGTTTGGCTCAGCGGTTAGTGTCGGCCTGTGGTCCAGAGAGACCCGGGTTTGGTTCCCGCTAAGGGCGCGTACCTCGGTTGCAGTTTGTCCCCGACCCTGGTTGGTCGTGCGGGTGGCAGCCACTCGATGTGTCCCTTTCACGTCGATGTTTCTTTCTCTCTCTCGCTCTCTCCCTCCCTCCCACTCTACCTGAACAATAAAATGGAAAAATGTCCTCGGGTGAGGATAAAGGAAAAAAAAATTTTTTTTAATCTGGCTGCCTACTTTGAAAAACTGGGTGATTTCTAATAAAAGTCTGGTCCCAGAGTGCTTATAAAAACATGAGAGAAACCAGCCCCAGCTGATGCCATTTACCACAGACCCCACTGCTCTCTATTACCCACCCCCTAGACCCTGGCTGAGGATCAGGAGGCATTTCCATTTCTTACACTGGTGACTGCCTGCTACACCCAATTATTATCCAGCTGGGTCATCTGTCAGCTCCTGCTCTAAACCTTGTTCCCTAGTTATAAACTAGACCAGAGCTGGCTAACTACGCCCTGCGCCACTACCAGCTTTTGTGTGGCCAGTGAACTAAGAAGAGTTGTCACATTTCTAATTGGTTGAGGGGAAATTGAAAGAAGAATATTGTCTCATGAAACATGAAAATCAAAATTAGTTCCTCAGTAAAGTTTTGTGACAATCAGAAGCAGAATACTCTATTTCATGACACGTGAAGATGAATTTCAGGAGTCAGAATCCACATTAGAGGTTTGTGAAAACCAAAATAATACTATTTTGTGACACATGGAATGCTGTGAAATTCGAAGCTCAGTGTACACAGGCAGCAGTGGCTACTTTCCAGGGACAAGGGCTGAGTTGAGTCTCCACAGAGACAGTGCAGCAGGGGAAGCTAAGAATATTGACTTGCTGGCCCCTTATAAGAATAGCTTGCTGACCCCCCAAAAGAGGATGCTTTTGGCTACAGTTCTATGGCTCAAATCTGGGAGGCAGTGCTGAGGGTGGGGCTGAAGACGGGCAGGTCAGCTGACCCTGAGACCCACTCAGGTCTCCTGGCAGTAGGTCACAGCTCCCTGGGGGCCCTCCTGCACCCAAAGGTCGGTCCTTTCTGGGCAGCCATGTGGGGAAAGGACACATGAGGGCCAGGCCCACCATAAACAATGTCGTTGATGCAGCACTTTTTTTAATCCTCACCTGAGGACATTTTTGCATTTATCTTCAGATAGAGCAAGAGGGAGAGAGGGAGGAAGAGAGTGAGAGAGACACATAGATTGGTTGCCACCCACACAACCCCAACCAGGGCCAGGGACAAACCGCAACCGAGGTACGAGGTACGTGCCCTTTATGGGAACCGAACCTGGGACTCTGGTTCGCAGGCTGACGCTCTAACCTCTGAGCCAAACCGGCCAGGGCAATGCCGCACTTCCTGAAGGTCGTGGTGTATGTGCGTGTGCCAGTCTTGTCCGAGAAGATGTACTCCACTTGGCCCAGCTGGTCAGTGAGGCTTGTGCTACAGCCTTCGGCCGGCATTTCCTGGGCTTGTAGTACATCTGCGTGTCCCAGATGATGATGCCCTTCCCCAGGTAGATGAATTCTGCTCTGCAAACAGCACTGGGTCACACCCAGGCCCATAGCCCACCTGAGCTCCCACTTCCCTCCAGCTGAGTAGTGGGTGGGGAGGACGCCCTGGGTCTCACAGGAGAAACATAGCTATGGACACCATGACACTGAACAAGTTGATGAAGCCCCAGAAGGTGAAGAAAGACTCGGTGGTCACACTATACACGAGCTTCTTAGACACATAGTAGTATGTGACCTTGAATTCCTTCACCTTGTCCCGGAAGCCCAAGGTCCAGGCCACAGAGATCAGCACCAAGAACATAAAAATCTGCTCAGAGATGGGAGACAGTGGAGCATGTGGAGGGACCCAGGGCAGCACCAAGACACCTCAGGGACTTGTCAACAGGGGCACACGCAGTATAAAAGACAAATAAAAGTTGGGAAGCCCCCCTACCTAAGCTCTGCCATCAAGATGGGGATGGGGTTGGGGGGCGGTGGCTGGCAGTCCCAGGGGGAGGGGAACTTGCAGGGGTTTTGCTGGGTTTTGTGGCTGTTATTTTTTTAACTATTACAATGACTTTTAAAAAGATAAAGTTGAGCCCGGCCAGTGTGGCTCACTGGTTGAGCGTCGACCCATGCCCTGACAGGTCATCGGATCGATTCCCAATCAGGGCACAATCCCAGGCTGTGGGCCCAATCCCCAGTGGAAAACATGCAGAAGGCAGCCAATTGATGTTCTCGCTCATCGATGTTTCATTTTAAAAATAAATTTTTAATTGATTTTTAGAGAGAGAGCAAGGGAGAGGGAGAGAGAGATAGAAACATCGAGGAGAGAGGACATTGACTGGCCGCCTCCTGCATGCCCCCCACTGGGGATCAGGCCCACAACCTGGGCATGTGCCCTGACCAGGAATCGAACCGGTGACCTCTAGGTGCATGGGTCAACACTCAACCACTGAGCCACACCAGCCAGGCTCTCATCGATGTTTCTATCTCTCTCTTCCTCTTCCTTCCTCGCTCTCTAAAATCAATAAAGAAAAAATATTTTTAAAAAAGATAAAGTTGCGCCCTGACCAGCATGGCTCAGTGGTTGAAGTGTCAGCCCGTGCACTGAAGGGTTGCAGCTTTGATCCAGGCCCAGCCCAATTTGGGGTGCATGCAGGAGGCAACCAATTAATGAGTCTCTCTCTTCTCTCTCTCTCTCTCCTCCTCACCCCCTCCCTTCCACTCTCTCTAAAAATCAATGAAAAAATATCCTTGGGTGAGGATTAACAAAAACATAAAATTAAAATTAAAAGATAAAGTTGATTAGGCAAAGTGTTAAGAATTGTTCAATAAATGTCCATGGAGGGTAGGTGAGCATTTTATTATCTCCTGTGGGTTTGGAAAATTGTCAGGATCAAAATTTATTTGATAAAGACATTTTTAAAATATCATAATTATAAGAAGATTCTCTGGCCCACTGACCTGTCTGTAGGATCAGGCCGCACATTTTGCAGAGAAGGGAAACGAAGCCTGAAGATGACAGCCCGGGCTTCTGTCTACGGGGAGGGGCCCTTTCACTTCCCTTCGGTTTCCCCGCCTCAGGGCAGGGCTCTAGGCAGCTCATCAGGATCACCAGCCTGTTCATCAGATGGTCTATCTTGGTTCTCTCCAGATGGATCTTGCCACAGTTCCTTATGATCTTTGTGGCAAAACCTGCAGGGTTTGCACCCATCCATCTGTTCGTCCATCTATCCATCCATCCATCCATCCATCCATCCATCCATCCATTCCATCTTCCAACCCTCTGTCACCCCACCCTTCTACTCATCCATTCACCTGCCCAGCCACCCATTCATCTACATACAAGCACCCCAGCCAAGTAACAAGGGTGCTGGCTCAATTTGTACATTTCCAGAGTTTTAGAACCCAGGCCCCATAGAAGCCATGCCGGGAGCCCCACATCTTATGGCAGCAGACACGCCGCAGCCAGGCCTGGCTTTGTGAGTTCTTGCCAGCGACTTCGGGGCTCTCACCCACCTCCACCAGGAAAGCTCATGCTGCAGAGGCCCCAGAGCAGCCCAGCATAGATGGCCACTCTGTAGCAGGTGTCTGTGTCTCCGATCTTTCAGCCACCTAGAAGGATGTTGCCTCTGTCCAGGGAGTATGTTTTGCCCTCCCACCTCAGTCACCCCATAAAGTGGTACATGCGACTATTGAGTTCCTCGCAGACCACCTTGCCTACGGGCGAAAGGGCAATCAGGGAGCCGAGGGCATGGCTGAGGTCAGGCACCCCTCTCCAGTCAGAGTGGGGCAGGATGTGGGGAACATTCTGTCACTCTGGCTCCAGCAACCCTCATTGGCCCTGCACTGCCCCAAACCTGCCCCACTGGCACCTCTACCTCCTTGCCACACAACCTCCTCCTGCATGCTCTGAAACCGGCTCCTTTAAGCCTCAGGGCCTCTGTGCATGCTTTTCCCTGTGCTAAGACTCACACCTCCTCAGAAAACCCTCTCTGATCCTCCAGCCAGATCAGGTCCCCCCATGCACACTGAGCCCCTTTCCTCCTAGTTACAATCCTGGAAGGTCAGTAGACATTTATTCCAGCCAGTGGTGTCATGAATACCTGTGAGTTCTGTGAGAGGAGGTGCCAGCCTCATCTCCATCACGCTGGGACCCTGGGGCCTAGCCCAGCACCTGGCACACAGTGCCTGGCCCTCCATGTGAGCGAGGCTTTTCCTCAAATAGCACAAAAACAAATGCAACTGTGATAGGCAGTTAGACAGACATGAGCAGAGCAAGGACGGTGGGCCAGGCACAGAAACTCACCAGGGCAGAAATCCCCGGATGCCTAGCAAGGGGTAAAACTGGGAAAGCAAGAACCTCACCCCCAGGTAACCTATCCTCCCCTAGCATATCACTGGTCACATGGTTTGGACCTCCTGACTTTTCATATTATTAGTCATGTAATTTAGACACCCTGACCTTTTCCTCCCTGAAGATAATATCTAGGCCTCAGTTGTATTTTACCGCCAGGCCCAGAAAAGCAGCAAAACCAGACATCATGGCTGCCTCAGGACCAGCTGCATTGACTAATGCCCCCCTTCCCTGGCATGGATCCATCACTGGACACCACGATGGGGAAGGAGCACACCTGGAAAACTAATGAATAGTCTGTTAAGACCCTCCCCTGAGTCCTCCCCCAAGATTCCCACCTGCAAAAGAGAGATAACTACACTAAGGATGAAGGGCCCAGTGCGCACACCAGCACCATTCCCTTCTCCTTCTTTTCCCTCTAAGGGGTCTCATGAGACTTGCAACCAGGGGAGCAATGGGCAGCAGCAGCTCGTCCTGGGCTAACACCCTGAAACTGTCTCCAAGGCCCCCTTTTCTCTGACTTCTCAGTGAGCGAAAGTCCAGCCTGGGCTCTCCTGTTGCGTCTTCTAAGCCCTTCCTGTTTCACTGTCCTAAGTGTGTTTTTGCTGTGACCAATAAATTCTTTCTTACTTTGCTACACTTTGGTTTTTTGTTTGTTTTTTTTTAATCCTCACCCTAGAACATTTTTCCATTCTTTGTTCAGGTAGAGTGGGAGGGAGAGAGAGGATCAGAGAGAGAGAGAGAAACATCGATGTGAAAGGAACACATCGAGTGGCTGCCACCCGCACAACCCACCAGGGCCGGGGACAAACTGCAACCGAGGTACGTGCCCTTAGCGGGAACTGAACCCGGGTCTCTCAGGACCGCAGGCCGACGCTCTAACCGCTGAGCAAAACCGGCCAGGGCTACACTTTGTTTTTTGATTGATATCTTTCCTTCAAGAAGACAAGAACTGAGGTCTCGTTGTCTCACAGCTAACACAACCAGTGCTTGAACGTCAAGAGCAAAAGGGCTGTGGTTCAAGAGAAAGATTCTGCTCCAGAACCAATTAGAGTAACTTGTCTTTTCAACAAGACAGGAAAAAAATAATGTATTCCCTTGCTTTAAATCCTCACCTGGGGATATTTTTTTATTTATCTTCTGATAGAGTGGAAAAGAGAGAGAAACATCGAGGTGAGAGAGACACATTGACTGGTTGCCTTGCACACAACCCTGACCAGGGCCGGGGAAGAACTGCAACCGATGTATGTGCCCTTGGCCGGAATCGAACCCGCGACTCTGGTCTGTGGGCCAGTGCTCTAACCACTGAGCAAAACCGGCCAGGCCCAGGCTTCCTTCCTTTTTCTTTTTTCATCCTCACCCAAGGACATTTTTTTGTTTGCATTTATCTTCAGATAGAGCAGAAGGGAGAGAGGGAGGAAGAGAGAGAGAGAAACATCAACGTGAGACACACTGAGTGGTTGCCATACACATGACCCCAACTGGGGACAAACTGCAACCGAGGTACGTGCCCTTAGTGGGAACCAAACCCGGGACTCTCTGGTCCCCAGGCCAATGTTCTAACCGCTGAGCCAAACCAGCCAGGGCTAATGTGATCACATTTTAAAAATTCAAGGTAATGCCTGATAAAATGGTGCAGTAAGTTTTGTAATGATAACAGAAAACACCCTGACTGTTACATGGATTCAAAGGACATGAAACAGGCCTGGGATAAACTGGCCTGTTAAAAGCTCGACCCCCAACAACCCCCAATAGACCCCATCACCATCCCCAAAACCCAGTAAAATGGTGAACTTTCTTGCCCACTGAACAGAGGGGCAGATGAAGGCCCAGATGGGGTGGATGAATTTGCCACCTCTCACCTTGAAAGGAAACCATCTTCCTTACATTGGTCAGCTCCTGGTGTGTGACCATCAGGGCCTGCCTGAATGAACTTCAAGTTGGTCTCCTTGGCAATGAGAAGGGGAGTGAGGTGACAGGTAGGGACAGACAGCACCCAGGCAAGGTACCGCAGCCCCCTTCCAGAGTCATTCAAACATTTTCACTGAGCCCCTGCTGTGCGCCAGCTGCCAAGCAAGAGACTGAGGCCCAGAGAGGAAGAGGGCCTCGCCCAGGTTTGCACAGGATTTCTGTGGACGGCTAAGGCCGGACATTAGGCCTTCTCCTTTTCGGACAGCTGCGCCTAGAGCACAGTAGAGCCTCAGAAACATTGGTACGAAGAAGGTGGGTCCCTTTGTCTGATTGAATGTTACTGCTCCTGCCAGCTTGCAGGTACCCACAAATGCTCCCAGGACGAATGACCTAAATATACCAGTGGGCTTGGGAGCCACATTTTGTGGCAATCGGGGGAGACCTTGTTGGCTCTCAGGCCCCCAAACCCCTAGTGATGACCTGTGCCTCAACAAGTCAATGTCCACCGTCTCTATAGCACAATCTGCTGAGCTCTGTGCTGGCAGCAAGAGCACGTAGGCCTGGGGTGGGAGGAGGAGGGTGGGAGGAAGAAAACAGCATGTTGGGGGAGGAGAGGACAGGAGGAAGACAGGCAGGAAGGCAGCCCTCCCCCAGGAGTGGGGAGTACTGAGCCAGGGTGACACCAACTCACCAGGACAATGTTATCTTTGTGCAGACAGACCAGGTCCACTACACAAACGTCCTTGCATTTTTTCCACAGGAAGCTGTAGGGGATGGGCAGCAGGTGTGAAAGGGGGCCCCAACCAGACCCATCTGCCCCCTACCCCACCCCTGTGCCACTCCCAAGCTGGAAGAACAGCAGGGGGTGGGACCACAGTCGCCCCTCTGGTGCTTTGCTTTCCTGCATGTTCACCTGCAGGTCTTTGGTGGGTGGGCTCAGCCCACACCCCCTCCTCCTGGTTCTGCATCCGTGTCCCTTCATACCTTCTCTGCCTCCTCCTTCAGCTGAACTCTCAGCCTTGTAAGGGTTAATAATTATTTCCTCAGTCTCTGTCCCCATCACAGGGCCCACCCCATAGTCTAGTAGAGCAGGCATCTCTAATAAATGCTGTCCGAGTCCCTGTCAGACATCAGACTCAACCAAGATGTCTGGGGGTCATGGAAGTTTCCAGGCACTCTGCTGGGCTCCCCTCCCTGATATGTCCTCTCCCTCACCACCCCGCACCCCCACCCCCCCGGGCTGTGCTGGCATCTCCTTCCTCAGAATGAACCATACACAGCGCCAGAGGCCTCAACTCTTCCCCACCAGCATCTGGCAGGGACTGTGGTTGATGGTCCTGTCACCCCTATGTCATCTCTGAATCAACAGGGTAGGTCAGAGAGGTGGCCCTGCCAGAGCCCTGCCCCCACCCAGAGAAATTTTACCCGCACCATGGCCCCATCCTGTCCCTACATGGCCCTGGTGGGGCCCAGGTGCAGGGCACGTTCCCGCTCACACACGTGGCCCGGATAGTGAACCCACTCCAGCTGCATCTGCACAGGGGCCCTCATGGAAGAGGGGCTGCTGCTGGGACAACTGCTAATGGCAGAGAAGGAAGGGATAGTTTACCTGTCACCCTGTGTGGCAGCAAGGGCCAAAGCACCATGGGGTACCTGTCCCTTGTAGCAGCAAGACAAAGACCCCATCCTGCCCCCAATCCTCTCCCCAGCTGTCCCTCCCCCTCACTTATGATGTCATCTGCCAGGTCTCTGGTGGCCCGGATGACAAGGAGGCAGGCGAGTGGGGTGAAGAGGGTGAACCAGGGCAGCATAGAGATCTCAGGGATGCCCTGACACAGAGGGTGGGTCATGCTGGAAGGTGATACTGAACCACCATCCCGGACACTACCCCAACCGTCTCCCCCTGCCCTCCCACGCAGACCCTCAACCTGGCATCGTGTGTCCCACCTGCCAACCACCGGAGCTTAAGGCTAGCCACCTCCCCTATAAATCTTGGGACAATTGCCCCTCTATTTCCTCTCCCTGCCCAGAACTTCTCCCTGGCACACTCATCTCCCTCCCACATCACAGACTCCAGGAAGCCCTACCAACCACGAGCTGTTCCCTCATCAGAGCCTTGGCTTTCCTGTTCCCTCCCCTGCAGCCCTGCTGCTCCCAGTCACTCTTCAGGCCTGAGCTCCAAGTGAACCTCAGACCAGCCCGGGTGGGGGGTATCTTCCCATCACTGGTCCCCTCCATGTGGTTTAATGACAGTGGGTATCAGGGCCACTGCCAAGTTCCCAGTGTCCAGCATAGGGCCTGCACACAGTGTGTTTATTGGGTCAATTAATATAAGCAGAGGGTCAGAACAGCATGAGATATTGAGTGGGGGTCAGGGCACTCTGCAAACTGCCCACTCACCGAGTGAGGGAGCTGCCCAGGCCGGATATCTGCCCCTCTGGCAGGGCCACCCAGGTATTGGGAAATGGCCCGGCAGGTCCTTTGAACCTGCTTTCAACCCTTTTTCCTCCTCACCCTTTGGGGTGAGCTCAGTAGGCAGGGCTATCCATCCTTGGACCCAGAGAGAGGAGCCAATCATGCACCTTCATCATGGAACATATGTTGAGAGTACCTTCTGTGTACCAGGCCCTGGATTGGGCAGTGGGGACACAGCCATAAGGGTGCTCCCAGTGTATGAGAAGCTGGACACCCCCCCACCACCACCAACCACACAGACAAACACACACTTGAACCTCTGTGTGTCTACAGAGCAATGCAGTAAAGGTGGTCAGTGAGGGCTTCCTGGAGGAGGTGATTCAAGCAGGTGAAAGGAATGGTGTGTGCCAGATGCTGACTCTTGGGGCCACCCCCACCCTGTCCCACCTAGAGAATGATGATAAAAAGGAAGTAGAGGTTGGACAGTCCGTGGAACTGCTCCTACATGTTCAAGGGCAGGAAGGAGAAGAAGTTGTACTTGGCTGTGTGGATGATGTTGCCCTGAAATGAGAGCCAGCACCCTGCCCTTTGGCTACAATCAGCAATAATTAAGTGCATGTAAAGCTTCAAGGCAATATTAACTATCTACCAAATCCAAGGCCTTAAGCCAGCTCTACTGAGTGCCTGCTGTATGCAAAACCCTCAGGCCAGCATTTACTGAGGGCCAGCTGAATGCAAAGCCTTGAGCCTGCATTAATTGAGCTTCTTCTGAATGCAAAGATTCATCAAGTAGGTTATGACCCCAGTATTCCCCAGAGTGAGACACACATGAGGGGATTTTAGGCAGAGCCTGATGAATACATTGTAGTTTGAAGGTTTAGTATTTACTTATCTAAACATTAATTCGGGTGGGGCCAAGGAAACAGGAAACTCCAGCACCAAACTGGTGATTCCTTCATGATATAAATGGGGGGAGGGGGGGCAGGGGAGAGGAAGTAGGGGAGGGCAGTGGGGCTGGGGCCACCCACCTTGTACTTCTTCCTCTAACAACACAGGAAGGCATTCTCCTTGAACTGGTTGTTGTAGGTCCGGTTGTTGGCCTTCACCTCCCACCAGGTGAACGCTGAAGCCAGAGAGAGCAGGGCATCACAGGGGGTGCAGAGAACACCGCCTAATGATTCCCCAAAGGCGGGCTAACGGGCCCCTAGAGGAACCACCATGGGTGGTAAACAAACACCACCCTGGGCCCATCCCACTCCTTCTACAGAAAGGGTAAAACTGAGGCCTGGTGCCCAGCTCCAGGTATTCGAGGCTGCTCGCCCAGCCTGGGCAGCCCAGCTATCTCAGGTCTGCAGCCCACTATTCCTGAATCTAGCCTTCAGTTATGGGATTTGGGACTATTTGTAACCCAATGAGAATCCTATGCTGGGCCTGTTGAATGGGCTTGGGGGGGGTCTCCCCATCCCCACATTTCAGCCACTACACTGCAATGCCCCTGGCTTCCTCCACAGATCCCGCACCCCACACTTCTCCCCAAAATATGCACCTGAGTTCTCCTCCTCAAGGTCCTCGCCATAGGCCCGACTGTCCATGCTGGTGGGGCTGCTGGGGAGAGGGGCCCAGCCCTTGCCAGACACTGTCCATGACTCTGCCCTGTGCAAAATGTCACCTCCCACTTCCATTGGCTGCCCCCTCCTCAGGCTCTGAAGGTCCAGTCACTGGCTATGTGTCCTTCTCTGGGTATCCGGGGCCTCCACTGATCCCCAATCCTGCAACAGCCACATGTCCACCAGTCCCCCCAGCTACCAAGCCAAAGTGGCCTTGATTTTCATTACAGCTAATCCCCAGGATGGATTCTCCTCCAACCCCTGCCGCCCTCCCCCAGGGGCGTCCTCAGTCCAGGTCACTACCGCCTCTCCTGGGATGGCCACACTCACTGTCCCCTGGGTCTCCCTGCAGCCCCCTCCCAACCTAATTCCCATGTGGAACACAATGCCCACCCCAGTGAGGGGTTCCATCAGTGTTTGTTGACTGACTACATGGGCCCAGGGTTATACATTATACGCTAAGCAGGTACAAAGGGCCAAGCTGCTCTGAGAGGTCTGAACGAGGTTTCAGGGCAGTTAACCGTGATGGAGGCAGACACCAGACCCTCCACAGAGACCAGAAACTTCCCTTCTGATCTCAGTTCATAGTTCACAGATGGGCCCAGCTTGCTTAGGCACCGCCTCTGGATACCCCTTCTGCCTGCAGTGTCCCCCAATCGAGGTCTCATCACCCTTTCTCCTCTAGTTCTTTCCCTCTCTGGGTGGTGGCTGAGCTGAAAATCTCCCAGGGCAGGACGGCTGGTGTCAGCCAGGGGTTTCACTGGGGCCACGGGGGAGGACCTAGTTCCGAGCCAGCTCTGCTGCTCCTGGGAGCCTGAGCAGTGTCATATCCATTCCCCAAATGAGAAGTGAGGCTCAGCCAGTGGGACCCAAGCCCTGCGAGACTTCACTGGGGGGCAAGTGGGGTTGGAGAGGTGCTATGACTGTCAGAATTCACCCAAAATGTATCTGGGGTAGGAAGACACACCAGTGCTCACGCTTTCCTCACCCCCACTCAGCTCACCAAAGCACCCCATTAGACATCGCCCCCCCAGCACATACATACACACACACACACACAGAAGCCTCAAGGCACAGGATTCAAGGTCCAATTTCCCACCCTGGGGCCTCCCTGACCTGGGAGATCCCAGTACACAGACAGAGCTGGCACCCCCTCCAAAACAGAAGGTGGGGCCAAGACAAATCAAGGCGGGGCCTTGCAGAGAGGGCCAGGGTAGGGGCGAGGCAGGGTGGGTCCTATGGCCTGGGTCAGCCTGGGAGGGTTTCTGGAGTGCTGCCAGCCTGGGGGCGAGCTAAGGTCCAGGGTTGGGGTGCTACAGTGGGTAAGGGACTGCAGTGAGTCAGTGGGCAGGGCACAGCAGGGCGGGATGATGGGGGCCCCTTAATAGTGCCAGGGTATTAAGGGATCTGTCATTTAGGGGCGGGACCTTATAAAGCTGGGCCTGAGTAAGGTGGATCTGAGGTTCTCCGGGCCAGTACGGGACTAGGGGTGGAGGAAGGATGCGCAGGTAGGTAACTGCAGGTTTTCACACCTGTTAGGCACAGTGTTGGGCGCCGGGGTAGGGGAGGCCATTAGAGCCACCAAGACCATCCCAATGCCAGGAGGAAACCCACAGGGCTCCTTTCTAAAGGAGGTAATGGGGGTGGGAGACAATGGTGAGGCTAGGACAGCCTTGGTGGGAGATTGGGAACTATAGCCAGGGAGGGAGGATATGAGGAAGGGATTACTAGAGTCCCTTTCAGAGTTGGGGCTCAGGGGGAGAGGCCAACTTGAGGACACAGGAAAAGTGATTAAGTTCCATGTTTCGAATTTTCACTTTTAGGAGCCCCCTGAAGCACATATATTAGCAAGGAGTGGGCACTGTACCTCATCCCTGGGGTCCCTTGCTCTGGCCCAGTCCTGACCCAACAAATGATGGTACATGTGTCTTGTTCTGTGCCCTAGTGTCTCCTTCCCAACTAGAGCTGGGATCCCCCTGAGGCACCAGCATCACCTATGAGCAGATGTGGAATGAATGAATGAGGATCCCAACTTCCTCATTAGAGCAGCAACCTCTCAATCACATTTCTTTGGAAGCTGGGTCTGCACATCCTGCTTAGTCTCTGGGGGTGCCAGGTAAACCTCTCCATTCATTCATTCACTCAACAAATGTTTATCCAACCCTACCCAGGGGTTAATGAGAAAGACTCTAGGAAAGGGGCTTTAAGGAGAGAACATGCTGGGTGCAGCTGGGTGGGTGGGGGGGTGGGGTGGGGGGGGGGTTAGGGGATCTGATTTCCTCCCTGGGAGGAAGAAGCAACAAGGAGAGAAGCAGCAAGTAGTAGCTTTTGGCCTCCAAGAACCAACAGGTTTGGCAAGCTGAAAGTCTGCATACCTCCTGAGCTGGGAGCTCTTCTCCCAGCTTGCCCTCATTCTTGCTGAGGGGGGGGGGGGGGTATAGACACTACATAGAAAGGGGTTTCTGGTACCAATTAATTAGAAAATTCTTATTTATAGAAGAGAAGAGATAAAGTCAACTGGTTACAAAAACAGCCCAGAGGGATGTTACAGTGGCAGGTGCCTGACGGAACCAAGCCCTGTCCCCCTCAAGGGCACCAGGACCTGGAGAAGAAACCTGATGTAGCCCTGGCCCAGGAAGCCCGAGAGGGGCTGCTATGTCCTCAGCCCAGGATCCTGCCCTCGTGGCCTTTAGTCAAAGCCGACTGACAGGGTGGCAGGGGCCTCCTCCTGGCAGCCTCCTTCCCAGCACCTTTATGCTCCCACATTAGGACCTGGCACTCCCAGCATCTCTTATCCCACAAGGCTTTTTCGGGCTTCACTTTTCACTTTGAATAAATTAAAAACGGAATCCTGAAGAGCTCTGGTCCTCTCACCCTGCAAGAGCCACAAAACACAAATGGAGTGGATTCAGGGCGCTAAGCACACACATTTCTGGAGATTGGCAAATGGTGCACAGTGGGCCATGGCCACCTCGTCTTTTCCATGGTAGTTTCTCAGACATTCAACCCCACACAGGACCTGGCTGCTAGCTCCCACCAAGGGACTGGAAGCATGACAGACCCCAAATCATCAAGACTGCCCAGGGTTCTTGGTCTGCGCAAGAACACTTTGTCCCCAGGGCAGGGGGCAGGACCTGGGAACTAGAGGTAGCTTTCCCGCTCCTCTACTGAACAGGTCCTGGCCACAGGGACAACGATCTCCACACAGTATCGAGTCACACCTGGCACCAAGAATACCACTAAACCGCACAGCATCTAAAATCCATATAAACATTTATTCTGTCCCTGCCTGGGGGTTGGGAGAGGGGGTTGGGGCATTGTCGGGGGGCAGGGTTGTGGGCCTTGACAAGACAACTCCCAGGTGAGATCGGGGCTCAAATGGGAAGTGTCCAGATGCCAGGGCCCCGGGGGCTGGCTCAGTTCCTGGAGGTCAAGTAGTCCCAGTGGGCTGGGGGAGGCCAGTTCCCACCCACCCGGGCCCAGGCCAGTCTGGATTCTGGGGTCCTGGTGGCTGTGGAGGCGCCAGCTGACTGCTCCCTTCCCCCAGCCCCCAGTCCCCCCAGGAGGAAAGGCAGCACCAGGATCTTGCTCCTCCAGGTGGGGGAAGACAACTATGCAAGTCATCAGGTTTAAATTAAAAATAATAAAAATAACAATACAAAATAAAAAAAAAGACAACTCCTGTCCAAACACACCCATGACAAGCCTGCCTGGCCCACTGGACACTCTGGCAGGTGAGGGGGCAGGAACAGGTGGTCAGTCTACGAGGGTCACTGCTGGGGACACAAGCAGGGCCCAGGCGTGTGGTCCCAGTCTCCAATGTAAGCAGCAGCAGTCTTCAGAAGAAATGATCTGGGGCAGAGGCAGGGAGGGCACAAGGAGCCACGCAGGGCCTGGGGCTCCACGTAGGTCTCGAGCTGCGTCCTGGGTGCCACGTGGCTCCTCCCGTGCTTTCCGTTTCCATGTCTTGGTGATGTGGACAGGGTTAGCTCTCGAGATTTATTGCACTATTTTGGAAGAGGCCTGGGGCTAAAGGACGGGCCGGGGCAGTGGGAGGCAGGAGGCAGAAGGGCAGGGGTGCTGGCGGCAGTCACCGCTTGGTCTTGGCGTCTTCGCGAATCTTCCAGATTACCAGGTGCATGCAGGCGCTGGCATCCTCACTGGAGCTGTGCCCATCCACTGTGGAGCGGTTGGAGAGTCAGAATGAGCCAGCTCCGGGGTCCCACCCTGCCTCTGCCAAGCTCCCCTTCCGCCCCACCGGCCCCACCATTCACCATTGTCCTGAATGATCTGTCTGAGGTAGTCAGCCATGAGATTCCGTAGGGAGCGCTTGTAGGGGAGGCCCAGGCGGTGCGGGAAGAGCACAGATGTGTCCACCACGGTGCTGTGGATGACCTGTGGGAACAGCAAGTCTGCCATGGACCTCAGGGTCCAGGGCCCCAGGAGGGCTGGGCCGCAAGGGTACCCAGGGCTTGGGAGGCTTCCAGAGCAATATGCCTGGTTGCTGACCCGCAGCCCCACCTGCCCTCTGAGCATGAAGCCTGGGGCCAAGATACCTTCAAGGCCAGCAGGTCACTCTCCAGGCTATGTCCGATGAGGATGGTATCAGCATTGAACATACTCAGCAGAACGGCCTGGACGTCCCGGAGTGAGATACTTGTGTCGGCAAGGTCAGCCTCGGTCACCCCTGAAAACCTGGGGCAGGAGGGACAGGGGGCCTTAGAGTGGCTGGGGGGCACCAAGGGTCCCTAACCTGGGAGCTGGGTCAGGGTCAGAGAGACTGGATCCTGGTGGGGTACAAGGTTCCCACCCTAGGAGCCCAAATCCTTGAGGGTCAGGCCGCACCTTGTGTTGTAGTCGACAATCTCATTGTCCGGCTTGACAAAGGTGTCGTAAACAACCTGCATGTCGGTGTCCACCACTGTGACGCGTGTCAGCTCCAGGCCATATGTGGTGTAGGACTGCAGGCCAGGAAGACACAGCTC